CAAAAATTGCTAAAAAAACTTTTTTTTAATGGAAAATACCTATTTTTATAATTATGTCATATTTAGCATCAAAAATTTAGGAGATTTTATATTAAGTTGTATATGGCTACTATTTTACCTTTTTGAAATATTTCCTTTTAAACATTTGTCTTTCACAAATACTTTGCTGTTGCCATGTAAGTCCATTTAATGTAAGGTGGCTATGACGGCGTTTAAACAAAACAGGTGTTAGAAGGCTTGCATATTACACACAGAGGAAAAGATTGATATGTTAGAAAGTTCCATATCGAACAATAAAAACCGGACCCTGGCTCTTAGAGATTATAGTAGAAAATTTCCATTAAGGAGGTGCTCAGAAAAAAAGAATATATGGAACTTTGAAGAAAAGAAAAATAGACGTCGTCATATTTTAAATAATGAAGAGCAACTTAATATTTTGTTGCATTTTGCAGATACCCCTGAAGATTTAACCCGAATTGCGTCTTTAGATCTAGATGTCAAAAGAAACAACGATTCGAATGTGCCTTTAAATTAGCAACTGTAAAAACCATAAATTCTGTCCAGTGCAGAAATTAGTGCAGCGGGATTACAACATCAGGTTAGATTTTTGCAACAAACTTATGCAGCGACACTTTTCATAAAATATAATTGCTAATAATATTATTTGGACAGATGAGTCCATAATTACAACCTCAACTAAAATTTTTAATCATAGAAATACTAATTACTGGACAACCAAAAATAATAAAAAATATATGGAAGTTACAAGTTCAGGTGGAACTTCTGTCAAAGTATGGTGTACCATTTGGAGGTTCAGAATTTTTTGATCAGAATGTAAATTCCCAACGCTACTGGGAACCTTTAAATATTTTCCATTTCATTGTTGAAAAGGAGGTGCCTGAATGGGGACGACGAAATTTAATTTGGCTAGCAGTAAGGCGCTCCTTATCAGAAAAGTGCATGAGCACCTATTTAAATGCACACTATGTAGAAAGGATTGGAGAGAATGGTAGTTGCGCCACCAAGGACTTAACAAACCTAGATTTATTTCTATGGGGTACACTTCAAGATTTAGTTTATAAACACAATCCGTCAACTGCCGAGGAACTTAAACGTCGGATAAGCGAAGGTATCGGATATTTAAATGGGACTGAAGATGTTATAAATGCCATTATGTATTTAAAAACCCTCTATACTGCTTGTATTGCTCAAAGGGCAAGACATATTGAACAACTGTTACAATAATTATTATCCTTTGTAAGCTATTAAATTTTTATTGATCGTTCATTAACAAAAAAGTACCCAACGTTCTCGCTTATCCTTGGTCTTTGGATCTTCTTAAGCGCATCGGCAAGATTGAATTGGTTACCACTTGCTTTGTTCAAACACCTTCATAACGACCTTACACTAACTGAACTTATAGGGCAACAGCATATTATTTGTGATAAACAGATGTTTAAAAGGAAATATTTCAAAAAGTAAAAACATTGGGCATATACAACCTTATATAAAATTGCCTTAATTTTTAATGCTAAATATGACAAGATAATGGGTAGTTTCCTTTTGAAAAAAAAGTTTTTTTGGCAGTTTTTTTAACTTCATTTTTAATCTTATTTTTCGCGTACCCTGTATTAATACCTATCGAAATTTCTTATATAATCCGTTCATTCGAGTCCTTCGTCGACAACAAAACTTACTTAAGTGAAACAATAAATGCTTCTGAAAGAAGAAATTAGCAGATATTTTAAGTTTTGCAAACGTCATTTTTCGCATAAAAAATTAAAAATGTCAAAAACGGTTAGACTTAGGTAAAAATTTTATTCAAAAATGAAGTAGTACACCACGTGTTCTATTTAGAATAGGAAAGTTGAGATTCGCCTACGAGAAATGAAACACCTTGTATATACAAAATTAAAATAAATTAAAGGTTTGTAATACCCCAATTAACTTTTGGCTCCATCCCCTACAGTTTCTGAGATAAGAGAGAGAGACCCTATACATTAATAAAATAACATTTTTAAGAGCTTATAAAAAAATAACGTGATAGAGCAAAAATATTACGTTTTTTGGAAAAAGGGCCCCCAAAAATATACAAATAAGCAAACAACTTTCATATATCAAAATCACTGTGGACCTGTGTTATTAATATGATTGTTAGAATAAGTTTTCCTGTAACAAGATTAAATAATTCTCTACATGTCTGTTTCTACATGTAAAAGAAAAAAAAATTTTGCTCATTGTATGTGCCTAAAATTTATCGGGCTTTCCATAATTACACATCATCAGTATGGCTCACTTTTTTGCCTATTTTGCATGCAGTCTAGTTCCAATAAAGAATCTATTAATATCGCTCTTTCGCCATTCTGTCATCAGAATATGAAATGGCTCAAACAGTGAAAACTAGTCTAAAATATTTTGCATAGTAGAATTCTATTCTTTACGTATTACGTAATTTTTCATATTATATTTAAAGTGTACCAAATGTCTTTAAAATCCAATGAGTGGCAGTAAATATATAACCACAGATTACGTTTTATTTCATCAGCATTTCAAAATTGGTCTGGTTATAAATAAAATAGGAATTGTTTGTAAAAATTTTGTGAGTTTTATAAACACCTAACTTCACCCATACCCTTTACCAACGCCAAAAGCACAAATATTGTTATTAGACATTAGATAATCAAACCGTTTTGCAAAAAAATTCTCTGAAATCTTTTTGCTAATAAAAGAAGAAAGAACTTTATCAGACAAATCATTGACAAAATATCTGGAATATTTTGCACATAATGTACGCTGGCAAATTTTTTACCAAGGAAAATTGAACTTGACGTGATCGTCTAAAAAAAAAGTTTTAATTCAATCTTCTTCGAGCTCATAAAAATTACAAAATTGGCTACAACACCCCACTGTCAAATCGCGCGCAGATCAATCTATATTTTCATTTTTATCGTAGGTAATAAAATGAAAATCAAAGGTGGCAGTTTGACGTTTCACTGATTAATAAGATTTTTAAAGCGGATATTTGAGTTCGTTAATCGTTGAGTAAATTTCTCAATTCTAATTGTGATTATATAAATTGTTATATGCCTGATTTAAACACATATGTGCTTCTGACGTTCCATTTTCATACAGGTAATAATTTTGAAACGTGAAAATTATATTCGTAATAAAAAATATTTTTAAGTAAATTTTAACATTATTTATAATTATTATGTGTAAAGTGAAATTGAAAAATATTTTTTTTTCATTTCAGCGAAGGAAACATAGTTTCTTGTAAATGAAAATTTAGGCCAGAATATTTGATACTTAAAGCTCATTATGAATCTCGATATCAATTCAATCTATACGCACCCTTATTTAGCATTTTGGAAAAAATGTCAAAGAACATTTATTAAAGAAGTACAATTACTCTTTTTGGAGCGTTAACAATAATTTGGTCCTCAAGCATCCAGGAACCCGAGATATATCCGAATACCCAGCATACCGTTCTACCGATCTCTGATAGAACTAATGCCTTAACCACGTTCTATGGAAATCGATGAGATAATTTACATTCCCGCGCAAAAGGCGACTACCCCATGAATAACTTCAGCGAAGCTAGATTCCAGCCCGTAATTAATTATCTACTATGTGTGTTTAATTAAGAGTGTCCAAAACCAACCGGTACAGGTAACGCATGATAATGCGTTGTAATTTCTCTTATCGCAACGGATATTCGGCTTTAAAATTAAATCTGCCAGAAAAACCGAACTCGTATTTTTCCCAGCAAAGGGATCTATCCCTCGCAACCAGACTAATTAAACCTTGAAAGCCGTTTCATTAATAAATAAGCGTTCTAGAAAGGGTTCCCTTGCATTTCAATAACAACGGAATTTGAAACTTGCCGGAATATTAAAATTAATGATAACATTAATTAATAAATAGTAACGACGAAGCGTCCGCGGAAAAGAGTTACGAATTAGATAAATTGAACAAGTTATTAATAAAAATAATGGGGGGAAAAATGAAATTGAATATATCAACAACAAGCTCCTGAGTAGTAATATTATTGTGCAATAGTATTAGCTAAATTAATTTTTAAAATTTCAGCATACTACAGAAATAATGACTAGGAAATATGTAAAATTCAAAATAATAAATTAATACCTAATTATACCGGCTGTTTGATAAAGAACATGTTAACATATGTCTTATATTTATATGTTTAGTCCCAGAGTTCATATCAAATAAGATAGAGGGTATATTAAAACTGAAAATAAAAATTGGATGTTTGTAGATATTTTCGGAACTACTTTTTCATACAGACTCTAGCGGGCGGAATATCTCTACTAAATAAAAATGGTCAAATTTTTTTTACTATTAATTTCGATTTTTTTTTGTGTCCATTGACAAGTCAATTGAAGGAAATAATTTTAAAAATGCAATGAAATTAATAACCATTTATTTATATTGTGCATTATATCGCCATCGCGTCGTTTTGAGAACTAAATGGAGTTGATATTTTTATTGGGATTCCCCACATTATTATAAAATACATATTATTACTATATAATCATATATAACACTCTACAATTGTTATCTAAAACATTTTGATCGAATTTGACTAGTCAATTAAGAAGTGGTCAATTGTCGGTCAATTGACCAGTCCTAACATTAACAACCGCTATACAATTCTATATTAAAAACGCGTGGCCATATTGGGATAGACAACAAGGCCGTCCTGCTATTGTTAATAAAGCCAAAAAATACTAACCGAAATCAACTAATATTATTATTGAAGCTATTGCATTATGTCAAAATTTTGTATTTGTAATTTAATATCGCTTCTTCTAATTCTTAGTCATCACAAAATTTACTTTTTATTAGGGAAATTTAGTAAGAAGGACCAAGATAGAAAATAAAATAAACAAATAGAAACAAAACATAAAATTAAGTATTTAAAAGATGTTTGACTTGGTGTATTAGAGGAACACATTTTTAAGTTTTTTTTTTTGTTGCAGGGCAATGATAACTGGCAAGGAAATGACAGCGACCAGGTAGGTTTCGCGACTAAGTTATTGCATATGGCATGAAATATTCCATCTCTTTTCATTCCTGTAAGCTGATAAGAGGTCGTCTCGAAAAATCTGGTGCTCACTGAAGTATGAAAGTCATATGAGGGATTGAGATAATTTTATTGAAAATAATTAAATTTTTACTATTAAATTGATTAATCTTGTGTTTTACAGATGTAACAAAATCGTGTTTTTTAATTTCCTTCACATTTTTTGACTGCTTTTATTTTAATTTTCCGTAAAAAATGCTGCATATGGGGACGCCCTCATATAGTCAGCAAACACTCAAATGGCTTTACCAGAATAATTATCGCGGATTTTGTTCCTCAACACTCGTAAACGAGGGAGGCAGCCTTTTGTCGTTAAAATTTCGTAAACTAGTCTTAAATAATACGACAAAAGCATTGAAATTGTTTTTAGATGAATTTGTACAGTAGGTTACTAAGCACATCTAAAGCTAAACGTAACAGTGGAAACCGCAACGGAAACGAAAACTCACGCGACACGACTGAATAATTCATAGAAGTTGAACTGGCTCGGATTTTCTCTTATGCCTTTATATTTTCAAGTGATGGATTTTCATCCATAGCGTAAGGGCGAAACCATCAGATAAATTGGGCCTGCCTTATTTCTCATATGGAAGGCAAACTCCCATTAGTCACTCCAACGAGTTTTTGCGCCCCCGTCAAAATGAAGGCTTGTTTTATTATAAAGCAGCAAATAGGCCTCATCGAAAAATACGTTGCTGGGAGATTAGGTCTAGATTATTTGGCGCTAACAGTCGAGAAGAACGGAGCAAAGCAGAAACGACTGATTAGTTTTTTAATAAGTTATTTAAGCACTGTAGACATGGTGTTAATTCTCTGGATTTTTGCATATAACAATAATAATAACGTTTCTTTGTTATACAATTGTGTGTGGTTGAGGTTAGGTAAAAGATATAAATCAACGCTGCTTTCTGAAACAGATACATAAGTGAACAAGTAATTCGTAGAACAAACAATACGCATAGATAAGGAAAACTAGAAGAGAAGATAAGAAAGGAAAAAAGAAAAGTCAGAGAGTTGTTCCTGTATAAATGTACTTAATACAATTATTTCAATAAATATTTAATGTATATAATAAAAGTAAAGTAAATAGTTTTCATTTTTGAGTATTGTAGCAAATTTAAATGGTAAACATCAGTTTGGCAAGTATAATTTTGTGTGTAATGAACCTTGAAAGAAAAAAATAATAATATGGTAAGAATGAACGTAATGCAAGAGTTTTGTATTTTTTAATTCTATACATCGTATATAGGTGTTAATTTGTTCTGAACCTATACTGTTTAAAAATTTACATTTTGAGTTAATAATTAGGCTATATAGCTTTTTATTTTTATATTAAGTCTAAAGTGTTTAAATATTAAAACCTTTTCTGTTAATTCATTTTCCTGCTTACTTACAAAATTCTTTTGACTTCAAGGGAATATTCATTTAGTGGATGACAATTAAGATAACTTACGTACAAGTCCACAATTTGCTTTATATTAGTAAAAAATCATTAAATGCCAACAAAGTCAATAACTCAGGCAATTCATATTTATTTGCTAATTTTAGTAATTGATTTTATTCAAATAAAATAATTGTGAAGCGGCAACGCCGCAGCGAACTTGCTTCTCACTACTCTAGGGTCATAATACCAAAGAGGCATGGTGTTTATCAACTAGGAAATACCTGCGCTTTTCAGAGACAGGGTAGGGCTGGCCGATGTGTTTTATTACTATTGAACATTATATTAGATTTCCAAAAGAAAATTTCTATGCTCTCAAACAGAGATACCATTACACAAAGTTTTCCCATGCAATAATTCGTTCGCAGTTCTGACTTCGCAATCATTTAACATTAGTCATAATTACCTTTCGAAAGATTTTAAAAATAATTTCCAGATGACGTTGTTTACCTTTTATGCTATTCCAAATTGCCAATCAAAAGTTGTAAGCTAAACACACGCTGCGGCTTTTAACGATTTGGTAATTGATATTTTGCGAAGTCGTTATTTTTTACTTTTTCTATTAGCAACCTAACAATCTAAACCGTGACTCAGGTCTCTCCTGTTTGGTAATCAGCCGTCCGGTGTTTATGCCCCTCATTTAGCTCCGACCCCCTCAAACAATATAAAAGCAGCTACAGAGTAAAATGCGAACCAGTTTCAGTCAAGCTTTGAAGAAGCCAAAAGGATGATTGGCGAAACGTTAGCTAGTTCGACTCAACAAAAACAGATGCAGGAGAAATCCAGAAGTTTTATAAAAAGTATGACTGTCGCCTTTGAAAAAAAATCGATATTTTTGTTACGCCCATTTAGCTACTAGAGATATAGCCTATCCCTATGACACAGGAACTTATGAAGCAACTATATAAAAAAGTTTTGAGAAGGTCCATTCAACATGCGCGTGCGCGTGATTTAATATCTCGTCTCTAACCAATGACCTTACGGGATTCGACAACCAACATGGCGGATCGTCAAATAAGTTTGGATGCGGAATGCCGCTCCAAAACTCAAAAATGGTTGAGTTTTAGTGTTAGAAAGAAGATGAAGCACAGTTCGGGTTAGCGGATAAAATGTAGAAGCATGCGTGGAAAATCATTACCCTCTCTACGAAAGTCTCAATGCCGACTGCGGCCATTAATTTTACTATAATATTTAATGGTTTACGGCTACTAATCATTACGTTTACGTTATCCTTGCAATGGTTTAGTAACGCATATAAAGACATGTTGGTTGATCAATACAGAGTTGAGTTAAGTTTAGTTTAACTCCACCAGACCTCTAACCTAAGGCTAAATTGATAAATCACAAAATCAAACTAGTAAAAAAAAATCAAATTAAGAAATGACGCAGTAATAGTCTCGGTTTACAAAATGATATACTATTGTAACCGCAGCGGTTGCTTTATTCCTTTGGTAAAATACGAAAATCCTCATACCGCCCTGTGTCGAGATTCTTGTCTACGGCGTGTGACGTCTGATATGAAACCAAGCTTAACGTTTCTCTCACCGTGTCTCCGTTTAGTGACAACGGGCAACATCGCCGGGCGGCACTGCGGCATCGACGCAATGCATGCCATGCAAGCAAAACCGTTGTGGTTTGTTTGAAACGGGCGGTAATAGCTACAAGTGGCAGAAAATTAGTTTTTAAAGTTTAGGACGCGAACTCCGCGATATGTTGAAACCAACGAAACTCGCTGCCAGTATTTAGAAACTTCCCAACGATAAAAAATGTATGTTTTTGTTTCAGTGTAGTGTAACTGTGTTTTTAACGGAAGTTCGGTTGTTATAGTTCTAGTAAATTGTGAAATATTTCTGTACAGAGTGAAAATTTTGTAAAACTCTCGAAATTCACTGTGAAAGTGCAATGAATCTGTTTATGATGAGTTAACAGGCTACATAACCTCAATGTCGGTTGAATGATTGAACTACGCCTACAATTCGATAGTATGCGTTACAGGTTCTTTTGCTTATAATATACCTAGGTGAAACCAAATATAATCGTCTTCTTGACGCTTTTTAAAAATTTATTTGAATTTGCAATTAACTGCCTCTTTTGTAAGCGAGTTTTGCCCACCTCTTAGTAAAGTGTACCATCATTTTTAACAAGTTGCATCCATCAATATGCAGAATACTTTCAAATGTTTTTAATTGAGTCATTTTTGAAGTGGTTTTCCTAAGTGCCAAGTTCAAGTAAATTAATTCGTGTTTCCGGCACCTATCTGCAGTGTTGCCAAGTTTAATAGACCAAATTTATTGCTTCTTCCATTATGTTTTATTTGAAACTATTTCAAATTTAAGATTTCAATAGTACTGACCTACGTAATCAGCTTTTTGCATTTAATTGTCTTTAAAAATAAAATAACAGGGTTAAATGTTTTGAGAAATGAGCAAAAATATTTTTAATGTTATTTGGGTATTCAGTTAGGTATTAAAATAGACGATCCCAGCAATAAGATTTTCACAGCTCAGAGTTTCCTGTGCAGTGTAAAACTGAAAATTTGACCCTTTTGAACACGGGTTGGTATTCGGTAAACAAAGAATATTAATATACCACAAATTTCATTTCTGTTCGTTAATAATAAGTTCAACAGATTGTAAGTAGAGTTCTGTGTACTGAGTAATAACGTGATTGTTCGATAGATCGAAAAGGAAATTTTTAATATCAAAAGTTGGCATATATCCGAAATATGTTAAATCTATATCACAAAATATAGATACAGATAACACCTTGCGTATGTATTGATAAATTACTAACCTAAGCAAATTGGAGGTGCGGATTTTTGTAGAACCAAGTTTGCAAGATTCGTTTGAAACACTAGAAGTTAGCCATTCTTGAAAACGTCCATTATTTGTAATTATTTTTACTGATTTTTACCTGTTTTGTATTTTCTGTAGCTGTTGTTATAGACGAGGTATCCGATTTTGTTTTGAAATGTGCGTGGGAAATTTCAAAAATGGGAATTTGGAATACCACAACTTTCTTAATTTTCGTAAGAAAGTGATAAAGTAGACACGCTTACTGATTCTGCCATTTTTGCCTAGCGCATAGGAATCCGCTTTGGTTAATTTATTATGTTGAAACTAGACAGGCATCTTCAACCAACCACATTTTCAGGAAAATGAAAAATATAATTAACATAAATTTAAAACTTAAATTGACAAAAAAAAGTATTCTTCATGCAACCGAAGGAGTCATGTAGTGGTATGTGAATAGTGACCATAATGATCAAGTTATTGATGGACTTCAGGTGACATACGGTTTTACAAGTGATTGACAATGACGTCCAGACGGAAAAAGAGCAAACAAGAAAAAGAAGGATTTATTAGGAAGGTTTCTTCGCTTTTTAACTTGGACACGGTAAGAGAATCACATACATTTGTTAATATAAACTGATTTGGTTGCCGCGCTCGAAGTTCGGCATAGCAAAGAGTAAAGAATCGAAATTTAAGTTGTAAAGTCGCGAAGAGAATTAGACGGGTCTACCAAAAGTTCTACAAAAATCCAACGTCGTCCTTCGAGAGGAGTTATAGCCAGATTTAGATATAGAGTACTCGATAGAGTGGAAAGCAGCAAACAAAATTGATGCAGTTTACTTTGCGCGGCTTCTTTTTGAAGTGAATATAGAATTCTGGAAATTTTCAAAAATACTATTACGAATTGACTTTCTGGAAGTTTTTATATAAAATTAATTTGGTCTCATAAAAAATCTCATGTTTTTCCGATTTCCGCGTATTTACTATTGCTTTTAATTTTCTAAAAAGAACATGGGCGTATATTTATTTTTATATCTCGCCATACGATATCGTTTTTCCTTTTTATCAGTTATTTTGAAATTAAAACACCGAGTAAAAGACGTACAGATCGCAATCCATATTTGAAGTATTAATTCATTTACAAATACAATAAAATCGCGTTTGGTGATAACGAAGCAGTGACATGAATGAGGAAACATTCTTAATGTCACCCGATGTGATGTGAGGAATTTCTCGCGGCACTTTACTATTTTTGTTATTTACACATCTTACTTTTGATAAGAGCGGTTGATGTGTCATATAATTGATATGTGTAACGGTATACTGACTTGGAGATCTATTTTTATATATAAAAAAAAAGAAATATTACATATTTGATTACCAAATATAGATAGCCATGGGAAATACACAGTCTGAATATATTGTATTTTATAATTACGTCCAATACGATCAGTGACCGAGTCACTGACCAAAAAACATAAATAATTTAGCGACTAGTATAAGTGTTTTAGTATTTAAATTTGTTAAACAAGATTTCAAATAATATAGTGAGTTTGTTCGAGTTCATTGAACGATTTATAGCCGGATTATGTGAAAATTTATTGCATTGTTTTTTAAAGTCGTTTTCTTTTCAGGCTCACTCACCGCTGTTGGGTTCAGGTGACAATAAACCGGTAAGAATTTTATTCGATATATTATATTCGTGTTACTTACGTGGCGCAATTGAATGCAGTTACTTGTCATTATGTTGGTTTCATTTAAGTTTTGTAAGCGTTTGCAACTAGCTAAGTAGTAAAGAATGAAACTAAGATTAAATGTAACGAATGTTTCCTACTTCACTTTTTCTGCCATGCATTTATTTACATCTTCGGGTCAGTTAAAGAAGATGTAAATCCAGATACCCTCCCGACCATCGGCAATGTTTTGTTATTAACCTTAATATCTGCTTTACTCTACTTTAAACAATATACAGTCTTATCTATTAGATTTAGTAACCACTGCACATAGACTTGAAAGTCAGCACTAATCACTTTGTTAAGCACTTGAGCTTGCATATGCTAGTATATACCATCAGCAAATATGAAGTAGCAAGCATTAAGTTAGGAGTTCAAATTTCATCAAAATCATAAATGACATTGTAATTAACGGATCGACGCGCAGTTACACTATGTTTTTTGTTATATATTTCACAGTCTATTTCATAAGATGATGTTTGCGAAAATAGCGAAAAGTCAATATTTATAGGAGTTAACCAGTCCATAATTTCTTGTTTTGAAGTTGGAATTTTCTCTGCTTGCCTTATCCATAACCACTACTGAATCAACCGAAGAATAATTTTATCATTTTCTCATTGTAATATCCCGTTTTGCATAAAGTTTACCTTCGACTATGGCCGACACCGAACTTGTAGGGAACTCGGTGGAATTTCCCAGTTTATTACCCTACACTTTTCCGAAATAGCCTATAATAACCTTGATCTATAAATCCCCTTTTGTTGTACACGTAATGCTCGTAAATACAAAAATCCTCATTAATTTCTTGGCACGCGCGTCGATGAGTATTAAAACGCGGTAGACGTTCTATTATGGTACATTAAAATTATTTTTAAAAAAGCGCGGACTGAAATAAAGCTTGCGCGAGTCGGAAACGGCGATTCGCTAAAATAAAACGGCAGGTTTTTACCAGTTGGGATACTCAAAGATATTTTAGTATACGACGGCAATAAACGGGTCGACAGTTGCGGTTCATTTCGCATGTTCGGCACATTGTTTACTTTCCGGATTAAGCGGTAGCGATGATTGTGCTTAAATGTTCGTAGAACGACGGGACTTTAAATAAAGCTTTCGCTATCGGCATCGAAACCTATACGATGTAATATAGGCTGGGCAACGATGTGTAGATTTGCGCAACGTTAATTAATTTCCCGCGGAATAATTCCATTTATTAATAAAGTGCCTGGTGTTAAAGTGCCGCGAAACTTCGCTCGGGCAACGAATTAATTTAGGCGATGCTAGTTTGACGGTTTGAAAACGCCTTATGTAAAATTATCTTTGAGCGCCACACTCAACGAGTTAGAAGGCGCGACAATGTAAAATTAACAAGGGATATTCAATATGCGCATGTGCGATTCATTTGTGAACTCAATTTCATCAAGCAAGACCTGGGGTCACTTCTATAAATTGCAAATATAAGGTGTTCACAAAAGAAACTTGTTTAGTGAGTTTAGATCTCTGTTTACAAGGAAACGACACCTAATAGCTGAGTGGTGGAAGGTTGGAAAATCATTTATTCTAAAAATATTCTTTCCAAGAACGGTATCAGGGGAAGACGTATTGCGGCGCTGACTTCAAACTAGTAACGCAATACTGAATTTTTCTCGATAAAGCAAGAAATAATATATTTAATAAGACACAAGTATTTAATCTAAAATTATGTTTTAAAACCAATGACATTCAGTTATTCGAGTAAATAAAAATTAGCAAGTGTGTTAACTAAATATTAAAACTACTGTTGCGATAATAGCGGGTTTTTTGATAATTTATACATTTATTTCATGCCTGCCGAATAACGACGCACACACAGACTACAGACACATTACCGTCAACATTCACAGAGTATAAAAATTAAAATTACATTGCTGTAGTTCGGCCAATCTGATGGTTGATCGACCTTGACTCAACTAAATTAAAATTTCCTTAAAATACGACGAAGCTTATAAAAACTTCCTAACAAAACGCAAAAAATATTTCAGTAGTTGTTCTATTACAATTGACAATAGCATTTTAGAGATCATTATTATATGAATACTTTTATTTCTTTATAAACAATAAATAAAATGATTTGAGTAAGATTAGTTGTTTGTCACGCGAGCGTGACTTAATAATGTAAAGTCCATACCCGAGCGGAATGTTTTAGACTGTTATTGTTTTTGTGCTTTAAAAACAGAAAATGTATTTATTTTAATCATCCATTTTTGTTAATAGTGAATAATAACCTAATATTTCAATTTACGATTTCAAATTAATTGAAAAAATTGATCACTCACAGCATAATGTTTCTTAAGAATTTACATAAGTTTTTCCACATAATCGTAGTGTATAACATGTTTAACAATAGCTACTTTTCGAATATCTTCTAAATGCCCTCTTTAATGATCTTGTAAAGATTCTGATTCTTACTTTAATCGGTCTTCACTGTTTCACGTGTACTTCGACAAATTGTATTATTTAAAGAAAATTCCTCGTCACACAAAATTTTATTCGACGAATCAGGTGTTGGTGTTAATTTCGCTATAATAGTTCCAATACTTGAATTTACCTTTACCAGTCGCGATTAAAACGTGTTTAATATTTTGGTTACCTAGAAAGTTCTAAACGCTTCTGAGATAAAAGCGGTTACACTATCGGAAATAATTTTTTGAGTGTCTGATGACTTAATTAGAAGAAGTGGATTTACAAGGATAAAGTTTTGAAAATTTCCTAAATGCATCTACAACTACTAAAATATACCTGACTTACGTTTTTCAATTGGTCTAAAATGGTCTAAAATTACCTTTGGCGATTGAGTGAAGCTCACCTTCTACTTTACCTCGATTGGGAGAGAATTTAATACAACTTAGACAATTTGCAATACATTTTTTAACTTGATCTTGCATGTTTCGAAACCAATAGGTCGAGTAATAATTTCACATGTCTTCGATATACCACAGTGACCATAATTTTTATAAGCTGCGAATTACATTAGATAGCGTAGACTGAGGAACATAAAACAAGACTTTACCGTTTTTCTGTTATCGGTATACCAAACCATCTCTAACCCAAACAAATGAGAATTAACTTTTGAAATTGATTTATTTAAATCAGAAATATGAGGGTCTATTAATTGCTTAACTGATAATACTTGCTCAAAAGTACTATTCTCAAAAGATAGTATACGAGGTGTGTTCAAAAAGTATCGCAAATTTTGAATTTTCGCGGGTTACGTATATTCTAATTTCGAATTTTTTGTGGCGTTATGTTGGTACTCATGTCTCTCATTTATGCCGACAAGCTCGGCCATTTTGAATGTTCATTTAATTGTTGACAGCTGCTTTGCTTGCACGTGTTTTGGATCGTCTTCGATTTTTACCTATTCAAAAAAATGGATCAAAGAACCTGTATGAAATTTTGTGTGAAAAACGAAATTAAGTGCGCGGATGCATTCGGAATGTTGACTGTGGCATACGGAGAAGCTACCTTGGACCGAAGCAACGTTTATCGGTGGTACAAAATGTTCTCAGAAGGCCGAGAAGATGTGAACGACAAAGAGCGTGCCGGATGCCCGAGCAACAACAGACGAAAAAATTAATGAAGTAGGGAAAATGGTATTGGCCAATCGTCGAATCACTGTTAGAGAAGTTGCTGAGGACCTAAACATATCGATTGGCTCGTGCCATTCGATTTTTATCAATGATTTGGGCATGAGACGGGTCGCCGCGAAATTCGTACCAAAATTGCTCAATTGTGACCAAAAACAGCATCGCATGAACATTGCTAATGAGATGTTAAACTCTGTCCGCGACGACCCAAATTTGCTCCAGAAGGTCATAACTGGTGACGAATCGTGGGTTTATGGTTATGACGTGGAAACCAAAGCTCAATCATCTCAATGGACAGTTTTCTTCGATTGCAGGGGCGTGGTGCATCATGAGTTCTTGCCACAGGGAAGAACGGTCAATAAGGAATATTACCTGCAAGTTATGCGCAATTTGCGCGAAGCAATCCGCCAGAAACGCCCGGATTTGTGGAAGAACAAAAATTGGCTTTTGCACCACGATAACGCCCCTGCTCACACATCGTTGCTTGTGCGCTACTTTCTGGCCAAAAACAACACACTAATAATGCCACAGCCACCGTATTCCCCAGATCTGGCCCCCTGTGACTTTTTCTTGTTCCCTAAACTGAAGAGGCCCATGAAAGGACGACGTTACGCTTCTCTTGACGAGATAAAGACGGCATCGAAGGAGGAGCTGAAGAAGATAAAAAAAAATGATTTTTTGAAGTGCTTCGAAGATTGGAAAAACCGTTGGCACAAATTCGCGATACTTTTTGAACACACCTCGTATTGTGGCACCTGATTAAAGCATCCTCGTGACGCATTTGAGAATTTGAACGGTGTTCAGTTTTATAATCATAAAACTCGAGAAATGAAGGCCATCTGGCTATTTTGGGTACAATGTCCTTCTTTTCTAAAGTCTCTAAAAATTGCAAAGGGTAAAATTTGTAAAGGGTATTCCATGAAGGTACACATTAAATCGTGTGCAAGACATTCCAGCTCGTAATTGTGGTAACCAGATTCTGCCTCCGTGGTTTTAACGACTAACGCTTTGTTTTTATAGTAAGATTGAATCATATCCTTTCGAAGATGCGTCACAATGCAATTGGGTTTCAGCAGATGGAAAAATCAAGACCTAAAACAGCCTTACTTAATAGAAAATTCTTTAATTTTTGAAAAACTTGAAATTCGATGTGACCAAAATTAAACTCTGAACTATGTTTATTGGCTTCCTTTAATGTGTCATACAGAGGCTTTGCGATTAATGAGAAGTTCTGAATAGACACACGATCCAGAAAACTGTGCAATTCATGACTATTTTTCGGAATTGGTGTAGTTTTGATATCTTTAACATTGTCCG